TCAAAGCTACTCTCATTTATAATGTCTTTAGGATTAATTTCGACCACAGTTGCTTCATAGAGTTGTTTGTTAACTATGAAACAAATGAAATAACTAACTAACTTTTGTTACACTAAGACAGTGCGATATACTTTTCGGTGGGTTGTAAACAGTAAAATAAGAATTCAGCTTTGAATATTCAAGAATTAATATTAAAACCGTGGTAGTTCAGGCGTTAAGTGCTCGCTGAACATTTGACAGTACGTAAGTCAACCCGGGCCCGATCCCACTCACTCAAATTGTTAATTTCAATTTCAAGTGCTGAACTTACTACGTGTTAGGCTATGACGGAAAACATCGTGAGGAAACTTCTAATGGAATGTCTAAGGAATAAAATATTTCGAGCGCTTGTAAAAGTTGCTCGAAAATAGTAAGTAAGGAATAAAACTTCTGCAAGTAGTGTCCGACAGTCTGTCAGACAGTAGCTTGCAAATGTAAACTACTTAGGAAGCGCACTCGACACAGTTTATCAAACGTTTCCTGCTAGTTGTTGCAAGTTAGACATGGGACGAGTAATCGGTTTGATTTCAGTACTCGGCGGATTCGGCCGTTTTTTAGGGTTCGGCCGAGCACCGAGTATTAACGGCCGAGTACCGAGTACTCGGCCTAAATTATATCCCAGAGAAAAATAGACAAAAAGCCAGTTTTTATCATTATTATTATATTAGACACATTAAAACATCAGGAACATTAGAAGGATATGAAATATTTATAACTTACATAAGAATCTTTTTTTGGCCCTATTTGAGTCTACTTTGTAAGGGAAATAACCGCACGCCGTCCGCTACCGCGTTTTTTTTACAGCCGAGTATTCGGCAGAGTACTCAGCCCAATCTTGGCCAAGTACCCGGTGGCCGAGTACCCGGTGGCCGAGTACCCGGTGGCCGAGTACCCGGTGGCTGAGTACTCGGCGAATCACTACTCGTTCCATGTCTAGTTGCGAGTGCAATATTAATTGCAAGTCTAAACATGTTCACATCGACTCGCGACAGATATAGTAGCTTATCGGTTAAGTATATCTCGCACAAGCGCCTGGTTAGTTTTGTTAAATAAAATGTCAGAATGAAATTAAAAACTTACAGATCGAGAAAAGCGGAAGCGGCAAGATGACAAATACAAATTCTGTATATAAATTCGCGACATCTATAGCTCTCCTGTGTAAATACATAATACATACATAAACACTCACGCCTGTCACCCAGAGGGGTAGGCAGAGACTATGGACTTCAATTTGGCACGATCCTGACACACCTCTCTCGCTTCATCCACATCCATATACCTATGCATACACGCTCGTCGGTTAAAGGTACTCTTGATTTGGCCAATTTTCAATATATCGCCAATTTGGTCGATAAACTTTCGCCTAGGGCGACCCTTCCCGACTCTGCCGTTTACCTCTGCAACATAAATTTGTTTTGTCACACTTTCCTCATTCATTCTTTCTACATGACCAAACCACCGAAGCATTCCTTTCTTAATCCTGGTCACAACATCATCTTGCAAACCACACTCTTCTCTTAATAAACAATTTCTCACTCTGTCATTCAGATTCATCCCTAACATACTCCTTAATGACCGCATTTCTACAGCATTTATTATACTCTCGTGCTTCTTCTGCCTCACCCAACTTTCACTACCATACATTAAAGTAGGTACTAAGACAGCATTGTGAATTGCCATACGTGCCTTTTTGGACACATTCTGACTTTTCACAATAGGGTGTAGAGCCCTATTCACTCTATTTCCTGCATTCACTCGTCGTTCTATATCCTTATCATATCTACCATCCCTGCTAAACACACATCCCAAATATACAAACTCATTTACTTGCTCTACTAACTCCCCTTCTATTCTTATTTCACATATCGTTTTACTTTCTTCTCTTTCAAAAACCATAACTTTCGTCTTACTTGCGTTCACTTTCATTCTCTTTTCTTTTAATGTCCTGTTCATTAATGTAACCATCATTTGCAACTCAGCTGCCGACGACGCAAGTATGACTTGATCATCGGCGTACAAAAGGTATTTGACGGTTAACTCACCCATTCTTAACCCGCATTCTTCTACTTTCAAATTTTCCAAACAACTGTCCATAAATAGGTTGAACAGCCACGGGAAAGCAACACAGCCCTATCTGACACCTTTATGGATGCCAAACCAGTCTGAGTAGGCCCCGTTGATCCTGACACAAGCACTAGAGTCCCTATACAGAGACTTCAATGCCTGTATCAACCCAGCGCTCAACCCAAATGAGTTCAGTGTTTGCCATAACACATCCCTGTCCACTCTGTCATAAGCCTTCTCCAAGTCCATGAACGCACAATAAACTTTTTGGTTTTTGGCCAAAAACTTCTCCACGACCATGCGCATGGAAAAGACCTGATCCGTACATCCCATTCCCTTTCTAAATCCGGCTTGCACATCCTTTGCGATAAGTTGCGATAGTATGATTCGCGAGCTTCTGCGAGATATTTATTGCAGAAAAAATTTGCAAGGATTCATGCGATATGTAAACAGTATTGCAAGAGACTTATCCAAGACTTCCGCGAATGTTCATACAGATGGAAACGGGGCCTAACTCTTTTATAAATGAGAATACGCAAATCTAAGTCCAGCTGTTGGACGAATGTAACATTCATTGGGCCGCGTAGTATCAGTTTAAGAATATCAACTAACCTTGGATGTCGTATAGAAGGGAAGCGGTGTTTCCCTAATAATACATTAAAATTAAAAACACTGAAAACCTTAATTCTGTGTTAAGCTTTTGTTTTGGTTGCTCATTAGAGTATATTATTATGCAAATCTCAAAGTATACATACATATTACTTTGAGATTTGCATAATTAATTCACCTACTAATTGATTCAAATTGGTAAATCCAACTGTGCATGCCTTAAACGCATTAAAAAAATTACGTATAACATGATTATGCGTAAATTTTTAAAGTATGTAAACATGTTTTATGTCAAATTAAAATTAAAAATAAAAGCTTGGAAAATCCAAAAGTGCACGACTCATAAAGCTCATATGATCGTGAAAAAATTAAAAAAAATTTAAATTGTAGTTCTATTCATCAAAGAGTTCCAGTGGCAGTCTATGAAGTACACCTTCAAGTCACTCCATCAAGTTCGGAGATAAGGTCTCATCATAACTAACAAAACGAGGCCAAACTCGGCACACCTAGTTCTACACTTCGAAGAGTTCCAGTAGCATTCAACGAAGTACACTTTCAGGTCATTCTATCAAGTGCGGAGGTACGGTTTTATCATAACTAACAAAACGAGGCCAAACTCGGCACACCTAGTTCTACTCTTCGAGGAGATCCAGTAGTATTCGCCGAAGTACACTTTCAGATCACTCCATAAGGTCCAAGACGTATCATCATCATCATTATCATCAAATTTGGTTTTTGGAATATTTTGTATTTCTACAGCGATCAAAATTTTGGTGCCTATTACCGCTGCTATAAGCAAACGATACTACTATATCTACTCGCGACGGCGGCCGACCGCGGAGTGAGGCAGAGCAAAGTGTATTTAGTAAAATAAATTATTACAAGGCTGCTCACAACACCGAAAATTTCGAGATTTCACAGCCGAAAAAAAATTAATTATAATTAAACAAAACAAAATTAAACTGCCATTTACATTCCATGACTTCCCACATGATAGATGAAGATATTAAAAAATTGATTGAGTTGAATAATTGATTTTCAAAAGTCATCGTGTTTAACACTCCATGCGGACTTGATAAATTTACACCTTAAGCCACTAAAGCCACTTTTTAATGTTAAAATAGCAATAAATGTGATACGATTTTATATGTGAGATACGATTTTATGCGACAAAACGCTGGAATCTAGATTTTAGGCGCTAGTAAAAACATACCTACGCGCTTTGCGCTTAAGGCATGCAAAACTGCGGTTGCCAACTCACCTGTCAGGCGTGGTAACTATGGCAAATATTTTCCCTACAATTTAATCTATGGGTAAGGTCTTTTCTGTGGACTTTTGATAGGCTGTAATTATAACCGATACATTTTATCAATCAATCTCACAAAACTTCCTTGCTAAGCAGCCTGTCCCTTAGATTGTCTCATAATCTTTTCCGCTTTTGCCATAGTCGTCACGCTTGGCAGGCGGGATAACAACCACACTTGTGGCGGCACTGTCGTCGCGCCACAAAAGAAACGCACCGAAGTCTAAATCACGCTATCAAAGTTCCGATGTACTGCGATATATATAGGACAGCTCTGTGGTAACACACGGTGCATTGGCCTCTCCCCGGACTGAACACCTTACCCGGCGGGAGATCTCCCATTTTCCCTCTTACGGCTAAACTCTTTTTTTATTGTTTTGTCTCTATATACCTAATTACGACACACACGAGATTAAATAATGTTGAGGATTCTCATAAACATTAAAATTGATGGTATTATATGTAGGTAACTAATCTTATAATTTGCTTTTATTCCAGGTAAAGCTGTTGGCAATTATATTTAAGGTAATTAAAATCTACTCGTAAACACTCCGAGGGCTCGAGTTTAATACACGTGCGAGTTTCAACGATATATTCTTAACACTTACCTTTATTTATATATTGTTAGTTATAATGTGAACAGCGCCATACTTTCTCAGACGAACTAGATTCGGCGCGATTTTTAACGGATGTAGAGGCCTAGCAAAACACCCGACATTTCTTATCGGCGCCAGCAAATATGCGGTGTCGGTTAAGTGTGAACAGCTTTATATAAAATGTTCGGCCTAAGTGGCCGGCTGGGCTTAAGTGGGCTGGCCACTTTTATATTTCTAATTAAAAATAATAATTACACAATTATTATTTCAATGATTCATAATAGGAATAATTTATTACAGATAGATATAACATTTGTATAACATGAGGTACAATTATATAAAAAAAAATTATCACAAATTTTCCTTCTCTTTTCAAAGTCCATTGAAAACTATGCTTCTTCCAATATTTCGATACACACGTCTTCCCAAGCCAAATCTTTCATCTGTCTATCGTGATACCCTTCACTGCCTGTATCACATAAGCAAGTACGTTTTTCTACGGCCATAATAAGCCATTCGATGTCGTAATTTTCCGCTATCGTCCGAAACCACAACGATTCGATGCGTCCATTCAGTGTCACACTAGAGAGCCATCTGGCAAGTCGGAAGGAGAAATCAGACGTCTATTGGATCTCTGTAGAAAAGTATGCAGACGGCACCTTCAGACAATCGGAATGGCAATAAAATCTTAAACGCCTTGACGCTGTTTCCGACTCGGACGTCCGATCCGACTATCGGATCGGATGTGTATTAAGTATTCAAACAAATGTATGGCACGAGTGCCTTCAGACAGTCTGATCAGACAATCGGGTCCTATTGTCGGATGAAAAAACCTGACGTGTATTCCCAGCCTAAGATGCCGATTTTATGTCGGACCCGACACCTGACAAGTGGGAACGGGCTCTGAGAAGGAATGCCTCATTTCCAGTAAAAAGGGTCTGCGGTTCTCTACACTCACCATACGAAACACAGCAGCATTAAGCTGCTATTTTACGCTGGTATTGGTCCTTCCCCGGTCGAACCGACCCATTCGTGCTACAACTATACTATTAATATAGCTGTAGCATGGCTCTACCACGCATAAAATTTTGTGTATTAGTAATAAAATCTTATGTTTAATGGTCGCAAAATGAAATCGAGTGAGAAAACTCATATTATAAGCATTTCAAAGTAACGCCTTGGACACATCATTCATGAATGTTTACACGTGCGAAAGTTGTGCGCGCGATTGGTGCCGCATTGTCACAAAGCAAAACGTGTTCGTCTTTCAAAACAAAATTTGGAGCTATTTCACCACAGTAAAAGGTAACGTATTTAATAAAAAAATCCGTTAACAATTGACGAAGATATCGCCTACATAACATATATACAAAAAGAAACACACAGTTGCATTGAGATCTTCCTTCTCCTACTTTTTTTTGAAGTCAGCTCAAAAAGATTTACTAGTATATTTTTTTTTATAGAATAGGGTGACAAACGAGCAAACAGTCCACTTGATGGTAAGTGGCCACTGCGACCCATAGACATCTACATCTATCCTCAATAAAGACTCAAGATGCAGATGCGTTGTCACCCATGAGGACTAAGACGGAATGCCTCTTTGCCAGTAAAAAGGGTCTCCGGTTCCCTACACTCACCATACGAAACACAGCAGCGTTAAGCTGCTATTTTACGCTGGTTTTCTGTGAGAGCGTGGTCCTTCCCCGGTCGAGCCGACCCATTCGTGCTACAACTACACCACTAATATAGCTGCAGCATGGCTCTACCACGTATAAACGTATATGAATATATCCACGCAAAAGCAACGATCGCTAGACAGTAAATCCTAAAATTAGATTTTGAATAAATTTACTCCCTTTGTTCCAACTTCCAAATAAATTTGTTTTGTCAAAATGTTAAATTATACGACAAAATCAGGACGGACCGCTCATTTATAATTTAATTTTCGTTGCAAATCGAACTTGAAATGGAATTCGTTTTCAAAAGTTTATGAAGGATAATTTCAAAATTGGATTATTCATAGAACGTAAGATCATATTCAATAGGAATAACGCTTACTAAGCGTGGCGATAAATTGTCTCTATTATAAAAGACATGTCTCTTGTAGTGGTGGCGTTAGAGAATTGATGTATATTGATTACCTCATAGGGATATTAGCCAAAATTGTTACACTTGGCAAGCGGGTTGGCAACCTGCAACTTTGTAGTTTTTTTTTATCTTTTTAGTCATTATTTGGAAGGCGCTGCTGCCCATGTCTTGATATGTTTCCCTCTGTCGCCTCTTACGACACCCACCGGATGATATAGGGTAGTGGATATTCTTACACCGCCACTACACAGTACTAGAAGGTGGGAAACTAACTAACTAACAACTCTAAATAATAAAACACTGCGGTTGCTTCTCCCCCCCCCCCCTCCCCCACACACACATGAGACAATTCTAGGGGAAGCCTAGAATTGTCTCATTTTTGGTAGTTACGATTCCGACAGACATCGTATAAATCTACGTACGTAATGATATGAGAAAATATTTATTACGTTATTTTTGGAACATGAATGTTACACCATATCCAGTAGCATTCTGTTTATATATAACTGACATTCCGCAGATTCCAATGACAACTGGATAGCGGGGCTTGCATTGTCGGAGTTCTACGGACAGAAACTCCGGTTATAGAAATTCTTGCTTGTATATATTTATATGTGTTAGTTCTAACCTTTGATGATGTAGGTATATTTTCTGTGTGTATTTGTTATATCCTAAAAGTGATATTTCTGTTCATCGTCAGCATAAGAGATTCCACTACCACATACATTATAATATCCTCCAGACCTACTTCTGTCGCGTCGGCATTACTGAAGGGAGAATAGTATCTGCGCGGGAATAGATTATAATGAACGAGTGTGTGCGCACAGGTACGCTCTCTATTCTCCTACTCTCCAATGGAATCCGACACCAAGGCAAAGAGATTAGCCGCAGGACCAACGGCTTTACGCGCATTCCGAGATACAAGGGTTACGGACTCAAGATCGGCAGTTACACTTGCGACCACTCGACGAATGACGCAGTCAATCACGTGGGTATCGTAATAAGTAACAGAGGAGAAACGGAACGGGAGATGGGCCGCAGCATCTTCCTGATTCCTCAGAAATATTTAAATACTGCACTGTGTAATGATGACCCGGGACGAGATGCAAGGATTCGATTGATGCAGGTGGCACAGAACCATGGTTTATGGCGTTCTTTAAGACCTATAATCAGCTGTGGACTTGTGATGGGCTATAATTATGATGATGATGATGATAAAAAGCAGTATGTATGCGCGTTACAAAGCCTTACCTTTTCCAATGAGGACGAGTTATTTTTATATTAGTTGGCATAAATTCTCACTTATTAAGTGTTATCACATGATATAGTGCAAAGTAGTACGGAAGGAACACAAACTTTTCTATTGCAATGTTATTCGAACTTGAACGTATTTCTGTTTACCTTATTTAAATATAGATTTGTAGTAGGTCAGGTCAGTGTTTTACTTTATTATGATATATTATTTGCTAAGACTGTAACATTTACGGCAAGAGTTTTGCTCCTGAGCTACTAAGGACTAAGTAAAGTAACTGGTAGAAGGCACTATTATTTTGAGAATAAAAAAGAAGTAAATGAAGTGTGTACAACATAGCTGAACAAAATTAACCTATATGTAATAATGGAGGCGGTTTCAGACACGTGGGTCACAACAACAAAAATTTGCCGTGGTAGCTCAGATGGTTAGCACTGGGTGTAAGTTTCACAGAACGCTAGCAATCCGGGTTCGAGCCCCGCCGGCACCAATGAAATTGTTAATTGCAATTTTAAGTGCTGATTTACCACGTACTCTGCGGTGAAGGAAAACATCGTGGTGTCTGAGAAATAAGAGAAAAAAATATTTCGAAGACATGTGAAGTTCGCCAACACGCATTGGGGCAGCGCGGCGAACATTTTCTTGCCCTAATAGCCTCTTAGAAATGAGAGGAGACCTGTGCCCAGCGGTGGGACGTATATAGGCCGCAACTTTAACTTTTTTTTTAACATGGCTGTGATTCTGAATGAACTTAAGAATTGGGTCTCATTTTTCTGTATTCTGTTAAATGACTGCCTCGTAAGTCTAAGCATTAAGTGCGACCGACGGCTGATCATTTAGCCGGAGATCAAATCGTTTGAGAAGCACGTAAAGCAGTTGGTCCTGTGCCTGATTTTGCTACGATCGTGTCGGAATGCAGTCCCATCGGACTATGAGAGTGAGGGAATAAAGAGTGTACCTGTGTTTGCACACACTCCTGCACTATTATCCTGTTCTGCGCAGATGGTTAGTCTGCGGTCAAACTGGCCGCCGTGACCGAAATTCAGTCTGGAGAACATTATTATTCTCTTAACTAAATAATGGTGTCGTAATTAAAAGCAATAAATGAAGATTATTTCTAATAACTACAAAAGTGTAGTAATTGTACATACTTATACAGTTTTTGTTTGGGTCCGCTCGACCGAGGTAGGACCACGCTTTCACTGACACAGCAGAATAATGCTGTGTTTCGTATGGTGAGTATAAAAAATCGTAAACCCCTTATAACTGGAAATCAGACATTCCATCTTAGTCCTCAGCGCTGACAGCGTATTTGCATTTTGAATCTAAATAAAGAATAGATGTAGTTGTCTATGGATCACAGGATCCACTTAATGGTTGACTGTGTGCTCGCCCTTAAAAACTCGCCATGAATAAAAATGCTAAATTTAATCAGCTAAAGTGCGATTAAATGTATCTTTTGTACAACTTCCCAAGACGTACTTCATAATATCGATTACATTCAAAGCAAAAGAAATTAATAAACTGAAGAAAAACGTTCGCTCCGCCTCGCACTCCAGTGGCTCTCAAAGGGGCTCCGAGGCTTTTTCGACCCTTTAAGTTATTTCAATAAATTTACGTTTTGCAGTGCTCAAGACATTAGACGTTTCCTTTTAAGAACGATACTCGTTATATTTGAGTATCAGTTGTGTTTCTTCACTTGCGAAAGAAAGTGTAATTTACGAAATGGCACTTTTATTGGATTGACTACCAGATTCTTTCTAAATATAGAAATCTTTTAAATTTAAACATATTTTTTTTTACTTTAAAATTTATTATTTTAAATGACTTCAAAAAAGGAGAATTTGTACATAATATAATAGCTTCTGTAGTGTAGTTGTAATTCTACTATATACTATTTCTTACCACCGACTTCAGTAGCTTCTTTATTGTTCGTTGCAATCAATTTTTTAAAGACTCTTTTTTTATCTTCTACCGTTTTAAGATAACTATTGGAACATAATAAAAAAGCGAAATATACTTCAATGCATCCTTTTTATGGCAATTGAAATAGTTGAAATACAATAGTATTATAGTTCATTCCCCAGCAACAATAATGAACAAAACATCTATGAAAAAACTCATAAGTCCTTAACAGACCCGAGTAGACCAGCAGAAAACAGAATCTGGTTACAAGTTTGACTCGTGTGACATCCATAGCCCCCGACCGGGAAGTTTTTTAAGGGTAAGAGAAAGAGAACACGCCGCTAAGCCAAGATCTCAGCCATGGTTTATGTAAAATAAAAACGTGATATTCAATATATTTTATCATTTTAAAATTAGTCACATTCGATGCCTGTTATTTCAGCAAGGCAATAAGCATTAATTTTTAACCTCCGACGCAAAAAGGGGGTGTGTTATAAGTTTGACCGCTATGTGTGTATGTCTGTGGCACCGTCTATAGCTCTTAAAAGGCTGAACCGATTTGGCTGTCGTTTTATTTTATTTAAAAGCAGGTTCTTAGACATGTTTTATCAAAATCGGTTCAGCCGTTTGAAGATCATGAGCTCTTTTTGTTTAGGGGGTTTTTTAAATTTTAAATTTAAGTTTCCGTTTAATATTAAGCACTAATTAATTCTAGTAAAAGAATTCGTTGACAGTACAGTGAAGTATCATCCGCAGGAGAAACAATGTAACTCGTATATAATGATATTATCAATGATATAACCCGGTTTGTAAGCTAAAATCGCAATTGAATGGCCTTATACTTAGTTCGAAGAACCGAAGGTCGATAGGAAGTAGAGTTTCCCTATAATACGAATTAAATAAAATGGAATCACGTTTATTCAATATAGATTAAAAAAATACATAATGAAAGTCATTTAAACTTTATCACTGGTTTAGAAAAAACTTCTGTTCTGAAAATAACCAACAGTAAACCCAGCGAGACGTTTTTTAAACATTAGTTTACAGTATAGTATTTTATACAATGAATAATGAAAACATTTAGAAACAGCATGGTAGCGATTACCTCATTCCCAGGGTATATTGTCAATCATGTACTCTTTAGTACAATAATAACCCTTATTAAACTGTTTTTCCTTGATAAAACTTTAAACTTTTTGATAGATTGGTCCTGCATATTTCCATACAGCATCCTACTATATGGAGTGACTTGGTAAGAGATATGGAAAGTCCATGGATGCATGTAGCTCAGGATCTTCGTTGATGTCATTCTTTGGGTGAGGCCTATGTTAGTAGAGTGAGCTTTTAATAGGTTGGTTAGTATGGCTTTTGATGAATGAGGTGTACGTCAACTTAAAAAAAATATTTTTAATTTCAACTTCATTTCTTTCAAAATATAGGCACAATGATTTTCTGTATTGGCAACCCTATGCGAACTACAAAATAAACAAAGCGTTATTGCAAATAAAAGTAAATTTGCATTTTGAATACAATGCGACCGTGTAATTTGCATTAATTTTATAATGAGACTCAAATCCGCTTAACAGGTTGTTTGAAATTAATGTAAATATTTCTACTCTAAAGGATAAATGAATTTCGAACGAGAACGATTATTGCTGTGAAAATTTAATTCGCGAGCTAGATGCTAATTAGACTAAACTAAGCCTAGATTTGTAGTCGTTTATTTATTCAATCATCTTTTAATAGAATTTAACATCTGATTATATATCACAGATCTTAGTACCCTAGATGTAAAGTACCTACAAATTACATACGTTCTTGGCATTTATTGCTTCTTAGGTTAAGAGCAAAGCCTTTCCTGAAATTTTATTCAGAATAGTATACGTACAACCAGAAACAGTAAGTTCGAAACCCAACCGTATCTTATTTTAATGCTTGTGCATTAAATAAAACCTGGCTTGGTTAAAAGTACAACCATAAAATCCAAGGAATGAAAGTGTAATCATACATTTGGGTTACATACTTTTAAGCAATCATCTCATCTTATCAATATCAGCTTGGAGTCAACAGATGGATAGGCAAGGTAAATAATTCAGTCAAGAATTTTAGACTTCCAGTAAGTAATGACATCTATAGGATAAAAAACCATGTTGTGCAGTTCACACGCGGTAGAATTGAATCAATTCTCTTCAATTGAAATGAAGTTATTAAAAATATTTCACGTCAAATGATTTATTCAATATAGTAATTGATTGACTCTCGAGGTGAACGTAAATTAGACGCTAGATGGCCTAAACACGACTAATTTAACATCTATGTTATTCTTTCGTAAGCTAAATCCTATAGATGTATATTTTTGTCTCTTAAAGTGTCGCTTTTTCTACCGACTTCAAAAAGGAGCCGGTACTAAATTCGACTGTGTTTTTTTTATGTGTGTTACCTCATAACTTTTTACTGGGTGAATCGATTTAAATGACTCTTTTTTCATTTGAAAGCTGATGCTTCACATGTACTCCCATATCAATTTGATCAAGGTCTGCTATACTACCAACTACGATGTCGGTTGCATAAAATTTTTAATTTTAAATGATCGTTTCATCGAGTTAAATTAAAACGATTCTAAAGAAGTTTTCACTTCAATAATAGTCTAGGCCCTAGACTCTAGAGTCTATGTGTGATGCCAGAAAAACCTTATGATTTCCGATATATGGTGGTATATCCATTTCGTTTACGTCACACGTGAAATACTTAGACTGGCGATGACCAGCAGCAGCCAAGAAAGAGATGATTGGCAATGCGGTCGTAAATTCGCCTGCCAAGCGTAACGATTAAGGCAAAACCCTGTCAAAAAGAGGAGAGACCTATTTCCAGCAGTTGGTTTTAATGGCCGATAAAAACAAAGAAGAAGAATAGTCTAGGGCAGATGGTTAATCCGGTCCGGTCAAGCCGAGTAGAGATTGTGCCACTTTCTAAATTTTCTACGTGTCACGTTTGCTAAACTCCTTTAGTTTTTTGGTTTATCATTTGAAGCAGCTTATTACTTAATATTATTTATTTTATACATATATCTTATAATATTGTATGTAGGTATGATAAAGTTACCTGACTCCCCACAATCCCCGAGCGAAAACCGAGTTTAAGAACAAACAACGTACGTCCAGCCTCGAAGATGTCTCGGCGGGCGAGGCCCGCAGCGGTCTCATGTTTGATTTTGTCTGACGATTTCCAAAAAGGAGACGGTACTCAATTCGACTGTATGTTTTTTTTTTATGTTTGTTACCAATAGTTTTTGAGTTATTCTTAATAACTTATATTGAAGTCAGCTGTACCAAATTATTAATTTTTAATTATTTACTTTCATTATAAAATTAAAATAAAAGCAATTTTACAAATTGCGTTCTCAGCAGTCTTTCTTTCAGAGTCTTCAGAGTTTGAAAAGCACTAAAACGTCACCTTAATTTATAACTATTTCACAAATTTTAATAGTTCAATTCAGTAGTCTATATTTAAATCCACCGTCATTTACGAGAACTTTGTTACTCTGCGCTCATTCAAAGTTTAACTGTAATTTATTAAGGTTAATTTAGTAAAGGTTTTTAACTAATTTAACAACTTTAATTCTGCACAGCTAAATAACTAACCAGTCTATTAAAACATTCTATGTGTTACATCCAAAAGTTTTAGAAGCATTTAAAATCATGTTTATTCAAAATATTCGCTAATGTTTTTTGTAAAAGAAATTTTCAACAAAGTCGCTTGAGAGGATTCAATTCGAGTTTCACGTAAAACGATTTTGTATTAATTTACATGAAAAGATATCGCATTATATAGTACAGAACAAAAGCAGAATCAACTCCTAAATTCAATGTGCTACTAAGTAATCTCTGAGAAATTGCGCCTTCCAGACAAACAAAATTTACTCAAATAATTGTCATTCAAGCTCCTAAAATGTGTGCATTGTTATGAATCCTCTCTATCATCAACCCGCAAAAATCCATTGTTGGAATTCTCTCCCGTCGAAACTTGCTTTAAACGTTACGTTTAGAAGGCGGATTGACAGTCGCAGCACTAGACATCTCGCATCTTTGAAACTGCTGCCTGTCGCCGGGCTGGATATTTTACGTCTGGCGTACACAATTTTTTTTTAGGATAAAGGTGACAAACGAGCACACAGTCAACTTGATGGTAAGTGGTTTCTGAAGCCCATAAACATCTACATCTATCCTCTATTATAAATCAAAATGCAGATGCGTTGTCACCCGTGAGGACTAAGATGGAATGCTTCATTTCCAGTAAAAGGGTCTCCGGATCTCTACACTCACCATATGAAACACAGCAGCGTTAAGCTGCTATTTTACGCTGGTATTCTGTGAGAGCGTGGTCCTTCCCCGGTCGAGCCGACCCATTCGTGCTACAACTATACTACTAATATAGCTGCAGCATGGCTCTACCATGTAATAAGATTATTAAAACTGGCATCATACTGAAGCCAATACAAAGGTATAATCTGGCATATCGCATAGTGGCCACTCACGACACCCACGGGATAAAATTAAGTGATGAATTTTATTACGGCGCCACCACAAGCAATTACGAATCTAGACTTTAAAACTCCTGTATTGATAATAGTGATATAAGATTGATTTTTTCATAACAAATGAAACTTACAATTTGAAACTAGTCAATTTATTAACTTTTCTCTTTTTTTTTTGTTAAATATGTTATTTTCTACTTCTCGGTATAAGAATGAAAAATATAAAGTCCAGTTTACGTTGCTCTGATGACTAAAATTCATAGAACAAAAGTACCAAGTTTTATAGCAGCGTAAAATAGCAGATTAACGCTGCTGTATTTCGTATGGTGAGTGTAGAGAACCGAAGACCCATTTTACTGGAAAAGAAGCATTCCATCTTAGTTCTCACGGGTGACGACGCATCTGCATTTTGATTTTTTGATTGAGGATAAATGTAGATGTCTATGGGTCACAGCTACCACTTAACACCAGGTGGACTATGTGCTCGTTCGTCACCCTATCCTATGAAAAAAAGGATTAGGATTCGATAGGTGGCTTTTTATATATATATATATATATATATATATATATATATATATATATATATATATAAATATTTATATATATATATATATATATTATATTAACCATTTCTCTATTATATGGAACAATAACAACTCATATTCACAGCATAATGTTAGTTTAATATCAAAAAAGAAAATCATTAATGTGGTGTTGTGGTTGAGTTGTTAAATTACGAAATGAACATCTTTTTCATCAGTATGTATTATCAAGTATCTGTAAGAATGTTTCTGACAAACAGACAGACAGACAAGTAGGTCATCCCGAATTTTAATATTAGTAAAGTGAAACGTATGTGAGTAACGCTGCGGGGAAAACTAGTTGAAAATAGAATAGTTGTTTAATGTTGCGAATATTAAAAAAAGATGTGCCAAATTATCATTTATTACGGGATTAAAACTTGTCGAAAAATCATCAGGATGATTTATGTACCCTGAAAATGACATGAAACTAAAACTGTCGGGTAAATATTTATTATAAATAATTATAACTATACAACTATCAACAAGTGTTAATCCAAACATTAATAGCGATGAAATTTCCCCAAATCACAAACATCGCATGTATTTGTATACTAGCTGTTCCCCGCGACTTCGCTCGCGTGTTAGGGTTTTTATGTTTTTGCGAGGAACCCTAATTGTTTTTCTAAAATAAATGTAGCCTAAGTTACTCCTTATAAAATCAGCTACCTGCCAGTGAAAGTCCCGTCAAAATCGGTCCAGCCGTTTCGGAGATTAGCCGGAACAAACAAACAGACAAGCAGACAGACAAAAATTTTAAAAATTGTATTTTAGTTATAAGTACCGTATTTGCTTTCATATGCATTTAGTAAAAAACTGTAATTTTGTCATTACAAACAGACACTTTAATTTTATTTATTTGTGTAGATGTATGTATATATTTTAAAACATTTTGCCTTTTATTGAATTAGTCGGTCCAATGTTTGATTGTATGGAGTACCGCAAGGGCCAATTTTGTGAAATTGTGGCCTAAATGAGACAGTATGATTAAATTCTCCGGCGACGCGTCCCCAATTTGACATTTGTCATGTTTGTCTGAAATAATGTACTTGTCGGAAAACTCTGATGTTTATTGACTCGTTAACTGGATTTCGTGTTTGAAACATATGGCGGTAGGTTGTTAATCATATCATGCCTTATTGTTTGTGAAAAACGATTCGTTAACTTGAATCAAGTCAACATCTGTCAATAAAAAAAAATTAAATCAAATCAAATCGAAAAAATATTTTTCTATATTTTAGAAGTTGCTTTGATCTAGGAACAGAGAAAATTTATGTGATAGTAACAATTTATTGGGGATTATTTTTAAAGATATTAGATATTAGAAGATATTAGAATAATTAATTTTTAGGTTTGTATAGATCGCGTTACGCTTGATAATTGACGTAAGCTACAGCTATTTGTTTGGGTGACATTATATCTACAATACTTCATCGG